CCTGGGTGGGCTGCTCAGGGCTCCCTGGTAGTGATTCGCTCGGCCTGCGTGTCCACGTGGCTGCGGACGGCGCTGCAGCAGGAGGCTCAAGGACAGGCGCCGGTGTGCTGGGAGCAGGGGCAGGTGTGACAAGCAGCGTGGACTGGCGCCTGCAGGGCCGGCCACGCCTCCTGACCGCGGGCTCCGAGGCAGGGAGTCGGCACTTCCCTCCAAGTCCAGGGGCGTCTCCCAGGCGGGTCCTCCAAGGAGGGACCTGCCCGGAGAGAGCGAAGATCAGGCTCCCAAGGTCGAGGTCCACGTTTCTGCTGAGATTGATAGACATTTTTAGGTGCCATTTTAATCGACTTCAAGAAAATGGTCACTGACCCCCCCCCCCACCTATGGAGCAGGAGCAGGAGACAAAGGCAATGCATTTGGTCTGAATCGGGTGTTGTATTTCCCTGGGACAGTGATGGCGAACCTACGACACGCGTGTCAGAGGTGACACGCAAACTCATTTTTTGGGTCGATTTTTCTTTGTTAAATGGCATTTAAATATATAAAATAAATATCAAAAATATAAATCTTTGTTTTACTATGGTCGCAAATAGCAAAAATTTCTATATGTGACACGGCACCAGAGTTAAGTTAGGGTTTTTCAAAATGCTGACACAACGAGCTCAAAAGGTTCGCCATCACTGCCCTGGGAGCTATAATCTAACAACTAAAATGTGATATTGGAAGTTAAAAGATGTCTTCTTGGTCTAGTTTTAATAATTCCGTAATGCTTTCCGTTACGCTATTTTTGTGGAATGCAGCCATTTCTTAAACTTTACTTCGAGAGTGGGCCACAGGCACATTAAAAATTAAAAACAAAAAAAGTGGCCCGCTGAGAGCAGGAGGGAGGCCGCCCAGGCCCCTCCGAGCTGCTCCCCCCGCGCGGGCGCCTTCTCCCATCTGGCGGGGGTCGCCCCTGACCATGTGCTTCTCAAAATTTCAGCAGGAGATACAAGAGATATCACCGCTTCCTCCCCCCAACACCCCAGGGAAGGGGGCGGCATGCCAAGTAACGCGGCCCAGCTGGAATGCAGCCGCGTCCCGTGGGAATCTTGGCAGCTGCACCCCTGGGCAAGGGCACGGGCACATGGTGACTGAAGCAACTGGTGACATCAGGGGCTTCGGTGGCCCCGGTTGTGAAATGCATCGCCTGCAAAAACACCGAAGCAACATCCGTTTCTTACATCAGGGACAGCACGTTCAGATCTGGGCCTGGTCTTTCTCTCCCTCTCTCTCTCTCTCCCTCTCTCCCTCTCACTTAAAATAGGTTCGCTATTTGAGTCAAATGTGAGAAGGCTCCATGTTTTCCTCCAGAGCAGGGAACACAGCGGCCTCCTCTCCCACCCACTGCCCGACCCCCGATCACAATGCACTACAGTGTCCCGTATCCCGCCTCCCGTATCCCGCCTCCCGGGACAGGAGGAGCCGGGGGAGGGGCCTCGACTCTCCAGGTGAAACCACTCACTTTGCGGAAATGTCTTCTCTTTTCAAAAGCACAGTCGGCCTGGGCCTCTTTTCAGGCCTAAAGGAGAATGTACCTCAGGAGACATGGCCGCGCACGCGCTGGTCCGACAGCAGTATTTGTGGTCACGCATCACTGCCTTTTCTACACTGTTCGGTGAAAAGAACCATGTGAATAGCTGTATCTTCAATACTGTGATTTGAATTTTTTAAAAAATCCTAATATAAATATTTTACTAAACTTACAATCACGTGTCTAATAAGAAACGCCTGGGTTTTTTGGAATCAGTGTTAATGGACGTATCCTCTCCCTAGCCTGGCTGGGGGGCGGAGCTGAAGCGCCAGGACCGAGGCAGACCCGCAGGCACACACGCCCCCAGCCACACAGTTTATGTCGCGTGAGTCTGGCCCCTGCCGCTCGGCACGTGCAAGCACAGCGCGGCCGCCCTAGCCCCGGGCGAGACGCCACCCACCGCACAGCAGGGTCTCGCCAGGCCGGACCTCCGCAGGGAACTTGGGCTGTGGGTTTTTACCAAAGAACTGCGCCCTCTCCCGTGTCCTGGTGGAACATGGGCACCAGCTGGTTGCCTGGCAGCCTCAGGTG